ACCAAAGGGATATTCCATACCATATGATGTCTGCTCAGCAATAAGAAACTGAGAGATAGGGGGAGGAACAGGGCAGGGGCATTCGTTGTTTTTTTTAACAATGTTTGTCTTCCGGAGTAAGGGGCACGGATACTGAAGCCCTACTTTCCAGGAAGTGGCTGAACATCGCCTGCTGATGGGAAGTAGAGAATAAATCTCTTGTTTTTTCCTTTGCTTCTGCATGTGGCCTTTGCTTTTGCTTTATTAAACTGCCTTTATCTGGACCCATGAGTTTTGCCACCTTCTTTTTTCTCCCATCTGTCCTGCTGAGGAGGGGAATGATAGAGCAGCTTGGTGGGCACCTGGTGTCCAGCCAAGGTCAACCTGCCACAACTGTTCCCATGCTTGGCAAGGGTAAGATGACTCTGCCTGTTTCTGTGAGGCAGAGTTCATTTGAAACACCCTGTAGTGATGTACTGCAGAGCATCCATGTTACAGTATGGCATTATGGAACAGCAGTGGCTTGCAAACCCCCGGTATTAATTCTGACTGGCATTGCTGGGATGGGAGATGGTTGTGGCTTGCTCTCTATTTCGTTTTCTTCTGCTTATCTTCTGTCATTTGTGGGGAACTGCACAACCCTGTTTGTCACTAGGACTGACTTAAGCCTCTGTGAGCCCCCGTATCAATTCTCTGTGCTGTCATCGTCAGTTTGGGTTTGTCTCTAAAACCCAGCAGTAATGAGTGTTTTATGCCAGGCAGGTTAGTCTTGATGCTTGGTTTGCTCAATCTTTTTAAATTCATCCCTCCTTCATGGAGTCTTCTGTGCTTCCAGCCATGACCTTTGATCACTATGTGGACTTCTACAACCTGCTGAGATACTCCTCCATGCTCACCAGTGCCAGGATGGACAGGATCAGGCTGGTGTCCTGGACTGGTCCAGGTGTCTCTTCAAGCATTCCTCCACTTCTGCAGATAAGGTTACCATCGTCGTCTACATCAGGACCTGACCAAGCCAGTGTGTCTAGACATTGCATTTAATAACTGGTATGGCTTTGCTGTAGCTGTTCTCTTTCTGACCCTTGACCTCATCTTCATAGCATATATTGCTAGGGCCATTCTAAGCATCACATCCCAGAGGGAGCATCTCAAAGCGTTGAATAACTGCCTACCCCGTATCCCGGCAGATCCCAGTTGTCTTGTCCATGGTTCACTGGTGTGGCAGGGGGG